CCTATACCCTAAACCAACCCTAAACATCGCATTATGAGGAGCTCTGGGCGGCTTTGGGATTGTGTTTAAAGGCCTGCCGGGCAGCTGTTTCCGACGTGAGCATCACAAGGATTTCGGGATTTCGGTTCGGGATTTCGCAGAACCTTGCAAGCCCTGAACCATTTCCTCTTCCAATCAGTGCGGCCGCTGCAAGCCCCGGAGAGGATTTAGGCCTTGATGGTCTTGCGGTCAGGATTTGAGGAACCCTAAACTAAACCCCTAAACCCTAAACCCCTAAACCCTAAACCCCTAAACCCTTGTGTTTGGGGTTCTGGCAGTTAAAGTTTTGGGATCTATGGTGCTGGTAAAGCTGGAATGGATGATCTAGGGCCTGGGATTTAGACTTTAGGGATTAGGGTTTATAGGATTTGAGGTTCGGGGCTTGGGATTTAGGAGCTAGGGTTCAGGGTTTAGGATTTGAGGTTCGGGGCTTGGGATTTAGGAGTTAGGGTTCAGGGTTTAGGATTTGAGGTTCGGGGCTTGGGATTTAGGGTTTAGGGTTTAGGGTGTTGGCTTTCGTTCAGGAATCCAGTGTGCATGCTCGTAACGGCTGGTCCAACAGCTGCCACGGTCGCATTGTGCTGATTGCTGAGACCACTGCTGAGACCATGCCGGACTCATACAGTCATGAGGAAAGCTAGGTAGTAGTAGGGTTTCGGGACAATGCATCTGTCCAACGTTGCTGAGATTTGGAAAACCACCATTCCCTTAAACCTAACCACTATGATTACATGAGAACTGGGCTTGGCCGGGAGTATGAAGCGACTGGGCCGATTTCTCATTCCGAAACCCCAACTCTTCTGCTGGACGCCCTAAACCCTAAAAGCAGTGGTACTGGATCGGTGCCCTGAGAGCATACGAACCACGGTTTGTGGCTCTGTTCACACTGAGGGCCGATTGCTTTCACTTCAGCCATGAATCACAAGTGCAAACTTTGCAATTTCCTGCTTTAGTTTACCCTAAACCCTAGACTCTAGGGTTTAGGGTTCAGGGTCTAGGGCTTATCAGGCTTTGAGATCCAGAGAAGAATGGTGGCAATGATTATAACCACAGTACGCCCTGATTTCCTTTGTTAGGGTCTAGGTTCCCTTACAACTCCTTTGAACCCCCAAAGGGCACCCTTCTTATTCCTAATGTAGGAACCTGATTAAGAAACCCTGCGGCCTCGAACCCGGATTCATATAAGGAACCCTAATGAAGGCCCAAGGTTTCTTAATCAGGTTCCTACATTAGGTTACTCTTAGGTCTAGTGGGAATGGTTGGCAGTTGTGTCAGACCGGTGTCCTTCGTCTTCTCCTACTATAGGGGCCTAAGCAATACCCCAAACCCTATTCTCACCTTCTCTGAGGATGTGAGTAAATTTGACATTGTTTTTAACGACAATATTACACCCTCTAGAACCGAACACGTACGCTTCTGTGGGCTTATGACCTTAGCAACGAAGCTAATTCATGAGGGCCCTGAGGGGGGTAAGGGGAGGCGGGTAGGGTGAGGAATAAGGCTTATTTAAGGAGTATCGTCCCCCTTACCCCCCTAAGGGTCCCTTGCAGCTGTAGCTCCCTTTGCAGGAACCCTTAGACCCTTCTATAATCCTTATACCCCCCCTAAGGATTATAATACGGCTGATGATATAAATCCTGCATTACCCATAATAAGGAATGTGCCATTATTCCCGTAGTTTAGGGTCCTTAAGGTAATGCAGGATTTATATCATCAACTAAGTCATTGTTTGGGGAACTGCGAGTCCAGCAGATCGGCAGTGGCCGAGGCGTTTGGGAAAGATCCCGAGAGACGCAAACGCGCCCAGCCACGGAAGTCATTCGACATGGTTTAGGATTTGGTGGCTTTAGGGTTTTGGGTTTAGGGGTTTTGGGACTTGGGTTTAGGGGTTTACGGGTTTAGGGGTTTAGGGTTCAGAGATTCTTGAGATAAGTGACTGCCCAAGCATTGTTCAGGTTCCTATCGTTTAAGCTCTTTTCACGAGGTCATGCCCATCGGGGCATCCCAGCTTATCACGACTACCTCCTAGTACCCTGAGGCCCGAGCTCTTTAGCTTATGAACATGTTAGTTGTCAACCGTGACTTCGTCGTCGTGCTGGAAGCGAAGTCAACAAATAAACGTTTGCAACAATTGCTTGATTTATCGCTCAGAGATGTCGGGCAGGTGCAGGACACCCGCGCATGCTTCAGCCCCATGACTAACCCTAGGCCCTAAACCTTGGAGATAAAGCCCGGGCACAGTCTTCATCTGCAGACATTGCTGAACACTACAGGCTTTCCTGGTCGTGGCATCCAGGGAAGCTGGATGCTACGCGGCGGGGAGCTTCATTTCTCAAGGGCTGGGCCTGCAGAAGTCAAGTAATGGACCCTCCATGAATAGAATCCGGCTTTGGGGCATAGTAAAGTCTAACTACAACAAGGAAGTTTTTGGAGAAATCGGTTAGGCTTCTATACTAGCATCATTCAGCATATACTTGTTTGGTGGACCAGGGCTTCACACTCAAGCTCCGTCAACCGAAACTCTTAGCTCTGAACCAGGTTTTTCCGAATCTTACAAGCCCGAGGGACCCTAAACCCTAAACCCTAAACCCCTAAACCCCTAAACCCTAAACCCCTAAACCCTAAACCCTAAACCCCAAATCCCTACAAGTACCCATATATTGTAGACTGTGGCCCTGAAATACTTATATAGGGAAGGGGACCAGGAGGGTGGTCATGAAGCTTTAGCCCTGGGCTGAACGATGGCAGTTTAGGGTTTCGGGTGTAGGTTCAGGAATGTATATGGGAGTTTCCGAAAATTAGGGGTACCTTATTTTGGGGTCCTTATAATCAGGATCCTTCTATTTAGGTTACTATATCAGGGTCCCCTATTTTCGGAAACTCCCATATAGTGTGGCAGATAATATCTGTATTATAGACTGTGTTTTTTGCAAGATCCGGCCAGAAACGCTGGAACAGACCGGTGTCGCACGTTTCGTTATCTCGAGGTAGAAGGTGTTCCGGACAAGGAGCAGAATTTGATATTGCTGCAAGGGCTTGGGTTCCGCAGTGTGAGAACATTGAGCTTTAACATTTTAACCCCCAGACTCAGGCGTTTGAACTCTGCTTCGCAGGCAGCTCTTGGCCGTCCCTGAGGGACATTTTCCGTCAGGAAGCATCTTTGGTGCAACAGATGTGGAGCGGACCCGAAAGGAGTTCACCCAACTTTGCCGAAATCGGACGTCCCTCCCGTTGATGTCGTGCCGGAAAGCAGATCTGGTCATCAGGATTTAGGGTAGGGTGTCACAGTCGCCAGAACGCTTCCCGCACTCTGCCTTCCATTCCCTGTATGAATCAACCAAGATTCGCACTTGGGCACCACATGCAGGCTGTCCCCTGGCCTGAATCTGCTGGCACAACATGCGTTGACCGTGACTTGAACCAGCAAATAGAAAAAAGGTCAGCTTTCTGAGCTATGTCTTCCTTAACGTGCATGTAAAAGCTAATATAGGAACCTGATTGAGAAACCTGGGCCTACAACCCCAAAAAGTAGGATTCATATAAGGGGCCCTAATAAAGGCCCAAGGTTTCTTAATCAGGTTCCTACATTAGGGGACAACTCCAGTGGAGTCTCCGCTCAGTGCGGCTTTAACAGCTTCCACCACAGGCCGCCCCAGTTATTTAGGGTTTAGGGTTGAGGGGTTTAGGGTTTAGGGATTAAACTCAGTTTAATATTTCCAGTTAGTAGCTGCTGGAACGCTGGACGGTAATCAAAACTAGGACCTAGAGTAGGCCCTTATTCCCTTTTTTGGGGGGTTCAGGTTCCCTTATAAGCCCCTTCAAACCAAAAAGGGCACCCTTTTTATTCCTAGGTTACTCTTAGGTCCCTAAATCCTCAACCCTAAACCCCTAAAAAGATCCCTTAAGGAACCCTTATAGCACCCTTTTTATTCCTAGGTTACTCTTGGGTCTAGAAAAGTAGGCCAATGTCCCTAAACCCTAAACCCCTAAACCCCTAAACCCTAAACCCTAAATCCTAAATCCTAAACCCCTAAACCCCTAAACCCTAAACCCCTAAACCCCTAAACCCTAAACCCCTAAACCCCTAAACCCTAAACCCTAAACCCCTAAACCCTAAACCCTAAACCCCTAAACCCTAAACCCCTAAACCCCTAAACCCTAAACCCTAAACCCCTAAACCCTAAACCCCTAACCCCTAAACCCTAAACCCCTAAACCCCTAAACCCTAAACCCCTAAGCCCTAAACCCTAAGTAGGCCAATGTTGAGGCTTTTAGTCTCAGGACCTCCGGAGCCTCCCAGACAGCATCCTCTCTTTCTGCGGTTTTGGGTTTAGGGGTTTAGGGGTTTAGGGGTTTGGGGTTTTAGGGTTTAGGGTTTAGAGGTTTAGGGGTTTAGGGTTTAGGGGTTTAGGGTTTAGGGTTTAGGGGTTTAGGGGTTTACACAACCCGAACTTTTAAACTAACAGGCGAATCTGCGCAAGGCCCAACGCCCAATGCTATGCTAGAGGAGCAGAAATAAAGTCTATTCGGATCGACCGTTACTTCCGTGACAGACTCCACCAAGGCCGACCCCATGTAAGCCCTCCAGCCTGTCCCCTGGCGCTCCAAATAGCCCAAAGTAGGTACTACCCAGAGGCCCCAAAGTAGTTCCTTTTAGGAACTACTTTATAGGATTCTATATATGAACCCCAAAAAGGAACTACTTTGGGGCTTTGGGTATTTACAGACTTTAGGCCGCAAAGCAGGTAAAATATGTATATACTTGGAGCCAGGTGAGTCCTGCAACCCTATAAACTACCTGGTTACCTGGATCTTGGCATAACTACGTTTTAGGGTTCCTTATTATGAACTCGTTACATAAGTCCTTGAAAGGGTAGGTTGTTTGGGGTTAAAGTAAGCACTGAAAGGGTTTGGGGTTGACGGCTTAAGTTCCTAAATCCCGGAGTCTGTTGTGGCGGAAGGCTTCTATCTTCCTGCTGCACAGCGCCAACAGGACGCTCGACTGGGTTGGGAGCATTTCCTTGAGACATGAGGGTGGTTGTCAAAATTAGGGTCCCCTTATTGGATCCTTACTAAATACGGCACCTAATATTTAGGGTACCCAAAAGGGGATCATAATTTTGACAACCGCCCTTTCCCGGAAACTCCCACGAGGCTGTTCCTTTATCTGGCCTTTCGTATTAAAGCTCCAGGGATTACGGTGTAGGGCTTATGGTTCGAGGGCCCTGGATTTTTAATTCTTACAAACCCACCAACCCATAGTTCCCTTGAGTCCTTAAGGAACCGTGCGATCCAAGATCCTGCAACCACAGTCCTGTTTTAGGTTTTGTTTTTGTTGTTGCCGGGGGGGGGAGGTTAAGTTAGGTTTGTTTTCCAGGGTTTAGGGTTTTAGGATGTGTAGGTTTCTAGGGTTGGGGGCTTGGGAGCTCAATACCAAAAGCACACTGATCATGGACAAACTCCAGCAGTACCAGGGTCTAGGGTTTAAGGTTGAGGGTTTAGGGTTTAGGGTTTCTTGACCACCATTACCTATGCAAATGATTCCTTGTCACGGACAGTGCATCGTGTTGCCCAACAGCAGCGCTGTTTGCTAAACAGTTTATCATGGTAACATGCGTCCCTTAGCAAGAACACAGAAGAGGCATCATTTGTTCAGTGGATGCGGGCCTCTTACTTTCTGGCTCCAGGCAACTTTATCAGGTGCTCATACCTGTATTGCCGGTATTGCTGCTTAGCGCAGAAACGCCCTATATTGGAGATATCTACCCAAAACATAACAATAATACTACTCGTAGTAGTTCCTACTTCAGAAACTCACTTTCTACTAGACACTGGAAATTTCGGGGCCCGACAGTGCCACTCGGGGTGTGTTTAGTGTTTAGGGTTTTAGCGGATCGATCCCTTTGTTTGGCATCCGCATCAAGGTCTATAGCCTTGAGTTTTGAAAAAGGCTTAGCACACGGCGACCCTATCTGACCCTCTTAGTTACGCCCGAAGGGTCCAAAGTAATTACCTATATGGTAGAATGTAAGGTTCAGATATCAGGACTTCCTAGTCTGATTCAGGGAATTACACCCCCCCCCCCGTAACAGTACCTAGGATCCTTTGGGTACAGGGTATAATCCCGAAAACAACAGGTTCTCAATGTAGTCACAGATCGGTTTTAGGTTTTATGCGGCTTAGTTCTGTAGGTCGGCAGGATTGCCGCGTTGATGGTGATGGAGCTTTCAAGATCTATTTAATGGGTCATGGGACTTATGTGAAGATGTGATTCTTTCCATTGCAAGGGTGGCGAAGGAAGCCTTGGGCCGCATGCTCACCACTCTGCAAGTCAGACACCACATTGCGAAGGCCTCGGAGAGTATCCCTGTGGCTCAATGGATCTGCAAGCAACAGGTCTGTTGATCTTGGTTGCTGGCCGTGGGTTCCCTGCCGTTGTACTGGAGAGGTCGGCTTCCGAAGTGGGGGAAGACAGCCTGGCCCAGATCATTTACGTCGCAGCGGTGGCTTTGGATCGTGAAGTCATCACAGAAGGCGAGCTGGGGAAGAACCCCAAAGAAGCATTCGAGAAAGCTGAAGGAGGGGGAAGAGCCACTGTAGCTTATGCTAGAGAGTGCGAAGCTTTGAAGTGCTCTGCTGCCCTGCGGCCTCAGTCCGCCCCTTTGTCGCCCCTGGCGTAACTAAGGTTTTAATTAAGGTAACTATACTTTGAATTGCTCACAAACCGGTACTTATAACCCTACTTACTAAGTCCCATGATTCGATCCTCCAAGCAGGTGTTAGGGCCATAGGATTTTTGACGGTTCTCACTTTGGGGTTCTAGTGTTTTGCTCTTTCATGCCTGGTGAGGTCTCGGGTTCAGTGGCGTTTTCGTGCTCATGCCATGCTTACGGGTTTTGCCCAGGGTTTAGGGTTTGGGGTTTAGGGTTGGGATTTAGGGTTTAGTGTTCAGTGGAGTAGTATCAAGTATTTAGGGTTTAGGGTTCAGTGGAGTAGTATTAAGTATTTAGGGTTTCGTTTGTTTCGGCTGTCGTGTTTCGAGTAGGGCGTAGTGTGTAAGACTTCTAATGGTTGATTCTGTGCCAGGCGATACCCTAAAGCCTAATCCCTGAAGCCTAAACCCTACTGTTGTCGGGCGATACCTTAGAAGGGGCCCCACCCTGTAATAGTGGTTTAATAGGAGTATAATAGGGCCCTCATATACTCCTTATAGTCACTATTACAGGGTGGGGGCCCCTCCTAAGCGATAAAAGTTAGAAATATATTGAATACCGCAGATTAAGTCCTCGAGGCAGCAGACCGGTCGCGGAAAAGCTTACAAGCTGCCTCCGAGCACTGCAGCAATGGGAGCACATGTTGATATTATAATAAATACATAAACCTACATATTTACATATATATATATATATATATATATATATATACAGTTTTATGTTTTATATTCCGGTCGGCGAAATCCTGCACTCCTTAGTCCCTTAGAAGGAATCCAGGGTTCTAGGAGTTGGGGGGACCTAAACTAGAAGCCTTCAATCCGTTTGAGTCTACTGAGTCGCGTAACTGGATGCCTTGAACATCAGAGACCTGCGCGCTGTACGAATTTAAGCACAAAATCGCAAAACCCCTTGCCTTCAAATCATGAGCCCTGTAAGGTAGAAGCCAGAAAGTCAGAATATAATGATGTTAAGTTCAAAGACGGTAAAAGCACTTGGAATGCCAGCACGAATCATCCCCAGTCCAGTTAGCAATTTCCTGGACTTCACTATACAACACTCCACCCTAAACCCCTTAAACCTAAGTCAGAAACCCCTTCTCTAATCCCCTCAACCCTAAACTAAATCCGACAACTCGTCCCTAATCCCTGAACCCCTCAACCCGATCTCCGAAGCCCATTGACTATGGTCTCCTAAGTTTTTAAAACTTTGTTCATATAACCCAAGAGAATATTTACAAAGAAAAAATGTGATTATGGTTGCAAGGGGGTTATATTTGATAGGAGCACCAATGGCGGGATGAAGCGGATCGCCGCAGGAGCTTTCCGAGACTTGGCCCCCATAGGACCTAGTTAGGTTTCTTGTAAGGGTTCTATTATAGAGTTTTTATAGGTTCTATAAGGATTGCTAGGTTCTAGGATTCAAGAGGGGATTATTGGGTTTGATAGTTTCAAACAAGGGGGGCACAGTATAGGTTCAATAAGGGACAAAAGGTGTTCTTAGGATTTGGAAGGCGGTGTAAGGGTCCAAAGGACCCGATAATTAGGTGCCTGGGTTTGAGATAGTAGTGTTGTAGATGAGCACTTGGGATATGATGATTAGGTATTCGGACCCTGAGGGTAGACCATGGTTCAGGAACCAAAAAAGAGGGGCCTAGAACATTAGATGCTATATCGTTGATATCGTGTTGTTGGGCTTTTGTGCGGTTTATCAGGGCTTTAACCTGGCGATAGTCAAACAGAATATGTTTTTGTGTGTCTCTAAGTATATATGTGTCATGTACTTTCGTATGTGCATATATATGTATATGCGCATTCATGTGTGGATGTGTACATATGTGTAAATGAAGTCATGTATCTATGTACATATATAAGTATGTGCAGATACATATGCGTGTGCGTGACTTTTGGGAACATCTCCGAGCCGAACTATGTAGCGACATTAAAGGAAACACCGGAATAGCCTACGGACCTTGAACATCGTTTGGAGACCCCCCCTAAGCCCTAAACCCCTAAAGCCCTAAACCCTAAACCCCTAAACCCTAAACCCCTAAACCCTAAAACCCTAAACCCTAAACCCCTAAACCCTAAAACCCTAAACCCTAAAACCCTAAACCCTAAAACCCTAAACCCCTAAACCCCTAAAACCCTAAACCCTAAACCCCTAAACCCCTAAAGCCCTAAACCCTAAAACCCCAAACCCTAAAACCCTAAACCCTAAAACCCTAAAACCCTAAACCCTAAAACCCTAAACCCTAAAACCCTTAACCCTGAACCCCTAAACCCTAAACCCCTAAACCCTAAAACCCTAAACCCTAAAACCCTAAACCCTAGAACCCTACACCCTAAAACCCTAAAACCCTAAACCCTAAAACCCTACACCCTAAAACCCTAAACCTCTCTACCTATTATAATTTAAACCCTATAGTCTTCGTGGCTCTTGTCCATAACTCGTGGCTCTTGTCCATAACTCGTGGCTCTTGTCCATAACTCGTGGCTCTTGTGCATAACTCGTGGCTCTTGTCCATAACTCGTGACTCTTGTCCATAACTCGTGGCTCTTGTCCATAACCCGTGGCTCTTGTCCATAACTCGTGGCTCTTGTCCATAACTCGTAGCTCTTGTCCATAACTCGCTGTGGGACGGTTCCTCGCCTTTCAGTTTGGGGTGGGTCGCCTTTCAATTTGGATGTTGTCGCCTTTGGTTGCCTTTCAATTTGGGTTCGTCGCCTTTCAATTTGGTTTTGTCGCCTTTCATGATTGGTCGCCTTCCATTGGATTTTGTCGCCTTGGGTTGCCTTTCAAATTGGGTCGTCGCCTTTCAGTTTGGGGTCGGTCGCCTTTCAATTTGGATGTTGTCGCCTTTGGTTGCCTTTCAATTTGGGTTCGTCGCCTTTCAATTGGGAGTTGGCCGCCTTTCAATTTGGATGTTGTCGCCTTTGGTTGCCTTTCAAATTTGGGTTCGTCGTCTTTCATTAAGTATGTAAAATCAATGTTCGCCGAATACAAAAGAAGAAAGGGTTTCTTCTCAATGTGAGGGGAACCTTTGGGCGGGTGGGATTTCTTCTTAAAACCAACTTGACTTGAAATTTGCTCGACCAGAGTTGCTGAACCCTAAACCCCTAAACCCTAAACCCCTAAACCCTAAAACCCTAAGCCCTAAAACCCTAAACCCTAAAACCCTAAAACCCTAAACCCTAAAACCTTAAACCCCTAAAGCCTAAAACCCTAAACCTTAAAACCCTAAACCCCTAAACCCTAAAACCCTAAGGTTTGGTCCAGCTTGTAGCATCATCCTGGAGCCTGTGGGTTGCAACACCTTAACAGGCCCAGACGAGGGTCTGGGATTTAAGTTTAGGGTTCAGGGTTTAAGGTTGTTAGGGTTTAGGGGCTTAATGGTTTAGGGTCTAGGCTTTAGGGTTTAGGTTACTAGGGGTTTTGGGAACGGCCTCGAGGCAACTACACCATCAAGCCGAAACCCTCTACATGTGATCACCCGGCACACTCATAAGCAGCCTGGTCAATTTTGATAGGATTCTTGCTTTTATGCGTCATTTGCTGACAAGGTAGGGTGTTGTAAGCTCAGGTAGGGTTTGGAGTCCCACTGTTGCCAAGCTTGAGCCCTAAACGGTCTTCTCGTACGGTAGACCTGTAACCTACTATAGGGACCTGAATAGATTACCAACACTATTTGGGAGGTTCCTTATAATTCTAGTATAGTGGGGCCCAAAATCCAATTCTAATTATCAAGGCCCCTATATAAAGCCTGAGCCGCGGAATGGGACCAGAAATTCCCGGATAAAAGGCGCTTTCTCAAGACCCAAGACCTCAAAGCTCACAACTTCAGCCCAAAACCCCCCAATCCTAAGCCCCACACCGCAGATCCGTAAACTCGAAACCGCAAGCCCAAAGCCACCAAACTCAAGACCCTAAGCCCAAGCCCTGATCCTCCTACGGCAACCCTTATGCTACCCCTCAACCCTTGCAACAGCCCTTAGAACAAGCCATAAACTAGGCAGTTAGGTTTGGTGACTTTCATATTTCCCTTATTGGGCTTAAGACGATCTCAGTTACGAAGATTTTTCAACGTCTTCAAAGGACCAACCCAGTCAAAAATCCCGTACCACCAGGATTCTGCCCTGCCTTCCCTGCCCTACTGGGGCCGTCTGTGCTGGGGACCTATCTCCTCCGCTGTCTCTGCCAGGCCAGGCTTCGTATAGGATTACTTGGAGGGTCGGGGGACTTAGTAAGTAGAGGGTTAAGGGTTCCTTTAAGGGATCTATAGGGGTGCTATAGGGGTTTAGGGTTTAGGGCCTACTTGGAGGGTCGGAGGACTTAGTAAGTAGTTATTTTCGAGACTTATAAGTACCATAACCCCAATTAGGGTCACTGTTCAGGCACTTATAAGTCTATTTGTAACCTACTTACTAAGTCCCCCTACCCTCCAAGTACGGTAGAAGCCCAAAAGTTGGAAACCCAACAGCCTCAATCCCTAAGAGTAGTGTTTTGGGAATCCCAGCATTATTTGGCCTTAATCCGGTTTCCAACTTTATGGGTCTTACTGTATTGTAGGGCTCTTTATATGGGTAGTTGTCAAAATTAGGGTCCCTTTTTGGGTCCCTAATAAAGTACGGCACCTAATATTTAGGGTACCCCCAAAAAGGGAGCCTAATATTGACAGCCACTTATATGGATATTATGGCGTAACAGCGCCAGGGTTCGTGAATTAGGTGCCTACATGAGCATCGCGCTGCCGAGCTTTTCAGGATTTAAGCTTTGAGGCGCCTACCGTTTGAAGGACTTCCCTCAGGCTCCATGTACCCTGATAGTATATAGGCCTTAAAGTAGTTATATTGGGACCCCTTTATATAAGGCCGAAGTATCTACTATAAAGGTACATGGAGCCTTTGGGCTTGTAACATGAACCCTTCATTTGGAACCGTGGAGTGGAATATTCTATGTGGTCCAGGTTGGGTTAAGGGTGAAGGTTCAGGGCTTCGGGTTGCCATGTTTTCAGGAATTGGGGTCAGGTAAAAGCCCTCAACCGAATGTAAACCCTAAAACCTTACACCTCTCTAGAGCCCTTCAAGGAACGGCAGAGGAACCCTTAAAGGGACCCTCCAGAACAGTTCAGGGAGATTTGTTTGCCCAGAGGTTCAGCGGAGTTTCAAGTAGACTAGGAGCACTCGGGCACTCGGGGGCCACAAATAGGATGGTAAATCCCCATAGCAATTGTGACTCCACGTACTAGCTACAGACCCAGATCTCGGGGTAGTTGGAGGGTGCAGGGATTTAGCTCTGAGGTTTCCGCATGCGGGCGTGAGCCGTCAGCACCTACAGACTTCAATAGCACATCTAGACTGCAATCTCGAAAAGCCCACGAAACCTTAAACCCCTAACGCCAAAGCCAGACCCGACCCTAAGAAATTCTATCAAGCCCTGAGAGCCTGAACGTCCGGAGAACACGCAGAATAACAGCCGAGACTGCGTAGCCCTCAAACTTTTCGCCTAACATCCTAAAGCGCTAAACTTTAAATCCCGAAACCCTGAAACCCCAAACAGAGTATCCTGTCCACCATCCCCTCTCCCACAGCAGGCTGGTGGGTTTTGCCAAGCGAAGTTCCCATTCCTTGCACTTTGGCTGGCTGCCTCGGTGGCTCGGACCACACCCGGCAAAATGACGCTCAAGGATGTGGGGCTCAAAGTGTTTGGGGTGTGGTGGTGTTGGGTCGGCGTTGTAGGAGAACCCCTAAACCTAAACTCCTATAGCGCATAGCTCCCTTTTGGAATCTGAGAGAACCACCCTTGACTTCGGTAAAACACGTAAAGATCATTTGTAGGAGCCTTTGCAGGAGATGGGAGAAAGAGGTACCTTTCCTGCAAGGCTGGGGCAAATTGCTAAAACCTACAAGAATCCCATGAACAAAAGCAGCTATCCTTTGCAAGCTTCTTGTAAACCGTATGAAAGGATCGTAGAACCCAAACATGTGCTAGGAAATTTGCCCAGCAGCCCCTTCAGCTACACCAATTGAGTCATCAGTCATCGAGTTGTTAAGCAAGAGTAGGATTGGGTGCATTCGCTCCCAACTAGTAAGCCTACAGAGTCTAAACCCTGAACCAGCAGACTTTGCTGGAACACATGCTGTCGATCTTTTCCTTCGTAAACCCTGAGACCAGAGCCCCAAGGCTTAAACAAAACAGACTCCAAGTATGCACGTTTGGCTTTCCGGGAATATTTCGAGACACTCCCCACTAGATGTTTCATCATTTCAATGGGGTGACCCGCGGGAGCTGGCAGCCACTGAGGTGAGAATCAGTGTGACGTGGGCTACAACACCAGGCCACAGATATTCAGAGTTTAGGGTCTAGGTAGTTTTGTTCCTGTGCATGCATGGGTGTATGTATGTATGTAGGTAGGTATGTAGGTAGGTATGCATCTATGTACCTATGTAACTATGGATGTATGTATGTATGCATGCATGTATGTATGCTTGTATGCATATATACGGGCCTTTGCTGTTTCGAACAAGGGTTTGGGGTATTTTGTAGTACGGTTAAAAAACACCGTTCCTAAGGAACAGTATTCAAGACTAGTTTGGTAGCTATTCCGATCTGGATACTGCCCCCCACTCTGTGACAGTTTCATGTGTATGATCGAACTACATCGAGCCCTCATTATGACCCTTCATATAGACTGCTACAGTTTGGGTGCAGTACCCCATCGATATTGGGGGGTGCAGAGTTCCTGGTTGACTACTCAGCAGGATGCAGGATGCACGGCTGCAAGCATCTGCTGCTACAGCCTCCGAGTCTCTTACCCCAAGGGTCCAGAGGACCCAATAATTAGGTACTCGGTTTTAGGATAGTAGTTATGTAGCTTACGATTTGGGAGAGTATATGATTATTAGCTACTTGGACCCTTGGGGTTACATCCTACAATTGAGAATAGGTGCCATGGCATACCACGAAGCTGATAAACCCTAAACCCTAGACCTTGAACCCTAATCCCTAAACTCTTCAACCCTAAACGGGAAACGCTTAACCCCTAAACCCTAAACCCTAACCGTTACAATCGTTCATGGTGGCAGGACGAGATGCGAAACGTGCACCGCATCGTACTACATCGACCTCCAAGAGAGCTGCTCGATGCAGGGTTCAGGGTTTAGGGGTCAGGTTTCAATGTCTCGGCACAGGCCTTTAATCCTCAAAAACGAATTTGTTATCGAATAAGCCTTATTGCTTGAAGGTTTAGGGTGAAGTTTAGGAGTTGGGTCTCGACTCCGTCCACAGACAGGCTGGCAATTCTTAGACCACTACAAGGAACGACATTCCCCAGAGATGCCGGTTTGGGTTCCTTCTTTGCGGGAAATGGAGCTCAACTTAGGGCTAAGGCCCAGTTTAGGCTCGTATACTAAGTCTCCATTTGCGGTCTGTGTAGTGCAAGGGCATCTGTTTTGTGATGCAAGTTTATTTTCTTCATCTAAGCATGACCTTCCTTGTACCCTCAAATATGGTCCCAAATAAGGGGCATTTAGGGTCGAATAGAGGGTAGATGGTGGGTCTAGGTAAGCATGACCTTCAAGGGGGTGTCCGTTAGGGGACGGAGCCGTCAAGGCGCAATAGTTGCATCCGAAGCACCATGTCCGAACCCTAAGACCCTAAAGGGAACTCCAGAAAGTTGGAATATGGTTTCAGGGTAGGATACCTTATAGTTTACCATAAAGGGTTTAGGATAATCATATTCCAACTTTCTGGCTTTTACTTTAAAGCCAAAGGCCCAGAGAACACAATCCCTGGTCCTTGCGCTTGAAATCCTATACTCAAAAGTAAGGCCTACATCAAGCCAAGAAACTTACTTTTTAAGCTTGCCACGTAGGCTTCAAGGATTCGGGTTTAGAAGTGCGAGTATTTACGTTTCGGATGTAGGGTTTAGGACGTAACGTTTAGGATGTATACGGCTTCATCCACTATCACCCTATCCCGAAACCCTAAACCCTAGGTGCCTGCGCGCAGTGCGAGACGTGGGTCCAATATTTCTCCCTCGCCTATGCTGCGGTGTTCCTGGTGCTCTTGCTACCCGGAAACATGGGGTTCAGAGGCCGTTTTGCATATGGCTTCGAGTTTAGAGATTTGGTGCTTCGGGCTTCGAGGGGTGGTTGAGTTGTGGGATTCGAGTCTTAGGGTGTCCGGGACTCGCGTTTTGTTGATAGGGTCGTTCTGTTGCAACGAGTCTCATCACCGTTACTTGTTGTGTTGCTACTGATCATACTGTCTTCGCAAGAAGTTAGCCCTAAACCCCTGAACCCTAAACCTTAACAAACCCAAAGCCCAAGAAGCCCAGAAATCATGGTGGGATACTCTACTATGGCTACTAGGGACCCTTGAAGGAATCCTTCGAGGAGCCCTTAGATCCAGGGGGCCTAAAGTATCCATATATGGGAGTTTCCGAAAATTAGGGGCGCCGCCGTGGTTTGGGGGTCCTTATAGTAAGGATGCTACCATTTCGGGTGCCATTTTAGGCTCCCTATTTTCGGAAACTCCCATTTGGGAATGCTTACCTAAACTATAACCAATAGTAGTTCATAGTATAGACACCCTACTTTCGACTATGTAGGTACTTCGCGGCCTTTGGGGGAGGGGCCGTGCAGGGTCAGTAGCCTGCTAGACGCATCCCTCAGGTTTGACAAACCTGTACAAGCCTGGTCAAGAAACCTTAATCCTTACATTAGGGTTTAGGATAAAAGAAACCTGAAGCCCGAGACCCTTAAATGAGGGTTTCAAGTTTTGGGTCGTAAACCTTGAAGTCTCAAGCTCCGAACCCCGAGGTATGAGAATTCAGGGCTTCGGATTTGGGGTTTTTTCGTATTATTTGGGTAGTAGTAGTAGTCGTAGTAGTAGTAGTAGTAGTAGTAGTAGTAGTAGTAGTCGTAGTAGTAGTAGTAGTGGTAGTAGTAGTAGTAGTAGTAGTAGTAGTAGTAGTAGTAGTAGTAGTAGTGGTAGTACTATTAGGGTACTCTCCAACATGTAGTTGGATTGCATGGCTAGCCATGTTGGGATCTACGACTCGGCACAAAAAGTAGCGAGGGTTAGCAGGCCGTGCAGAGTATTAGGATGTAGGGCTTAGGCCTGTAGGACCAAGCGTGTTCTATGGCACCGGATTCGTGTAGGTTTTGTTTATGAAGGTTGTAGGACTTGGAGTTCAGGGCTTTCGCATGCCTCCATGAGAGTAGTTAAAGCAAGGCTTCGCACTGCGAACTTACCCTACATCCCAATATCCACTACGCTAGACACGACGTAGAAACCCGACACCCCCTTCTCGGAGGTTTTGTTTCTTGCTGCCCTACCTCTTCTTCAAAGCACGTTATGCTTTGAATCCTACAAAAGGCAAGCGGCTGTCGAAGAGTTTTGATGTGGCTAGTCTGCTGGTTATTGTGGCGGCGGCGAATGTGATTTGTTGGTGATGCTGATCAGGATGATGGTGACGTGACGATGGTGACTGTTGTTGTTACAACGAAGTTCTCCGCTTTGTTAGGATAATTCTGATTGCTACAGTGTAATCATTAGTCTCTTGCTACTTGTCGCATGGTGGTTTCAAAGCAGTGGTTGCGCGTAATTCGTGCGAAGGGGCTTGGCGGGCTGCTGTGTCGGTTCTTGCCACAGGCATCTTTCTCCGAGACTTTCATTACTTCAGCCTTGTTTGGAAGCTCCGAAAGAGATGCTTTAGCTGCCACGTTCGGCCATCCAGGCCTAGAGCTGTGAAGTTCGGAGTTGGCAAATAAACATCCTTCGCAGATAAGTTGTCCAGGCTTTACCAGCACCGCGACTGCTCACCTGGAGCCAACTGATAAGCATATGGCCAGGAATCCCCAGTGCCCAGTAGCTGCTGCAATGCCATGAGGGAGTCGGGTGCAAGTCCGACGGGGTCAATGCCCCAGTGACTGCGAAACCCCTCAATTAAGGCATATACCTTAAATCTTGCTAGGGCTCCTGTCATAAATTGTAAGGAGATGCTTTGGCTTTGCACTGGCTTTGGCTTTGCTTCGTCATGGTCTCCTTTTTCTTCTTCGGCGCCACGGAAGTCTACCGGAGTGCCGACATCTAGGGCTCCTGTTATAAATTACATTTTAGGGTGTTTGGCCTAGTTAAGGTGTTTCGGATTCTCTGGGTATCCTAGGCCCTAGTCACAACAGAGTTAAGCGGACAAGGCCTTGGTTGCCGGCTTTAGTTATCATCTCTCACTTTGAAGCAGCCTTAGGATTCCAGGGATGATGATACGTCTGAACCGGTGAGTCTTGATGTGTATATCCAGGTGATGATGCGGTGGGAACCCGGCAGATCTTGCCTCTTGTGCTCACTTTGAACAGCGAGTCAACGCTCTGTGTGTCTATGCTGAAGCCCGAAGGGTGCATGAATCCATTATACTGTCTACTTTAGCCCTAAAGTACCGCCATAGGGACTACTTTAACGTCTCTGGCATACACTATATACTCTGGCTCTAAAATGCCTATATAAGGACTACTTCAATAAAGCATCTATGAGGGCCCATGAACACTTTGGGGAAGAAGGGAGGTAGCAACGAGACAGCTAACGAGACGGGGTCCGACGTGCAAATGGAAGGAGAGACCCTAAGGCTCCATGTACCCTTGTAGTATATACTTAAGCCTTATTCTAGCTATATAGGGACCCCTTTAATTAGGCCTTACAGTAGCTATATAGGGACCCCTTTATGGCCTAAGTATCTACTATATGGGTACATGGAGCCTTTGAGAGAGCGATGAGGGTCTCAGCTCAAAGGCATGTGGGACTTAGTGACTAGGGTTTAGAGTCCCTTTTAAGTGGTACTATAGGGTTCTATAATATGGTTCCCTTTAAGGATTTAGGGTTAAGGGTCTACTTAAAGGCTCGTGGGACTTAGTAACTGGTAACCATCGTTAAAGCTGCTTGTAACCCTCTTTACGGCAATTATAACTGTACTTACTAAGTCCTATGAACCTCCAAGACTCAGTCCGAATCATGACTTTCTTGTATCATTATAAGAAGCCTGAGATATTCGGAAGCATTGCAGAATTCCAACAGGTTCCCTACATAATACGAAGCGCACATGTCCAGCTTTCCTGTTCTGTGCAGATGTCGAGCCACCATGGCTTTGTTTCGGCCTGTGCCAATGCCTGCTGCGAAGGCTCCAGTCTTTTGGGGTCCTCTGAGTAGTTTATTTAAGGTTTAGAGTTTAGGGTTTAGGTTTTTTGCGGCACTATCAAGCTTTTGGAGTTCAGGGTGTAGGCTTTCGGGTTTAGTGATTTAGGGCCGAGGGGCTTCGGTCCGATTCTCTGCCAATATTGCCGTTGGTTTGGTTCTCCCCAAGCCATGGTCATGCAGAAATACTGTAAACCCTACACCCTGAACCCTGAAACCCTAGAACCCAAACCACCCCTGAACCCCTAAACCCTTAGCCTCCAAGCCCATAAAACGGTGTTTGTTTAGGAGTTATTGAAGGCTGACTCTAGGGGTCCATGTATGCATATGGTATATACATTGGCCTCAAAGTAATCCCTACATAGATACTTTAGGGCCAAATGGAACCTTAGGGTGAAGGCTTAAAGGGTGGTTTCTGGGACTGCTGTTCGGCTCTTGGGCCAATGGCATTAGGGTTTTAGGGTTTGGGGGTTTTAGGGCTCAGGGTTTAGCGTTTAGGGTTTAGCTTTAGGCGTGAGATCTTATGGTTTAGGGTTTGAGGTTTGCGTACTCCAGAACTCTTACAAGTGCTTTTGGACTTGGGGGTTGCCTGGAACCACTCCCCCCTGAGCAGAAGATACTGTTAACGAGCAGAATGCGGCTACTGGAGGGTACTGTGTCCGCGTTGTGGAGTCCTGGTCGTTTCTCTGCTGCTCTCATGTCCTTACCTTTGGTTAGGAGGGAATGGAAGAATGGTAGTAATAGTAGTTCCAATTGTACCCCACTCCTCCATTCCTACTAACCAAAGGTAAGTTATAGGATTATTAAGGCCTCTATATTATACTGCCCTTATAGCTCCCTTATACTATAGCCCTTATAGACCCCCTTATGAGGCCCCTTGGCCCATCGGTTCAACCCGGGGGGGGGCGTGCTTGCAAAATGTGTTGCTTTTCGTTTGCGCGCCGAAGGCCATCCTCTGCTGTGGTGATATACTTAGGGTCATTTATGATTACCTATACTGTTGCCAAGAACCCTCGACACTGAACCAGAAAGGTGGGCAGATCCTAAGCGCACAGCAAAACCCCACACCCAGATGAACAAACACGCCCTACATAACTAGACTTGAATTGAAATCCAGGTAGTTGCAGTTCACCGTGGGGTTTAGGGATTGGACTTGAAGTCTGTTACGGAGTCGGGAGAGTCGCTTCATAGAGACGTGAATAGACAGTGCAGCCTCGACAGAGGTCTGACATGGAGCAGGATCATGTAGGAGACCCATCACCCCAAACCAGAGACTCCAAAAACCCACAGATTATGCAAGACCTCCCAAATATGGACTCCAAAAACAAGACCTCCCAAATATGGAGGGACACTTGCTGTCACTGAACCTGCACTACCGGAACCCCTTTCGGGTTGATCGGAAGGCAGCCCTCAGCCTTAAAGGGTCACGGGACTTAGTAACTGGGGTTATAATTCAGGTAACTACACTTATAATTACTTATAACCCCAATTAAGGTACTTATAACCTCACTTACTAAGTCCCATGATCCTCCAAGTACTCCGCGGTACTTAAGCATCTGCAAGTGGAGGCTCTGGAGAAAGCGCCTCCTCCATGGTGCCAAGGGTGAACTAGCCGCTGCCGCTGAGTAAGGGCATTGGGGTTTCTGTTTTAAGAGCCGTACTTACGGGGTTTGGTGGAGCTTCAGTCCTTTTCGGGGTTTTGGGGGGTTTGAGGGTTTAGGCTTTGAGAGCTTAGGGTGTTAGGGATTGGCGTTTTGAGGGGCCCTGAACGGTTAGGGGTTTAAGGGGTGCGGTACTCTCGTCGGGAACTTTCTCTCAAGAAGTGTACGGCTCTGGGGTCATAGGGTCGGGAGATTTTGTTTAGGGCTGTGGGTTGAGGGGGTTAGGGTCTGGGGTTTGTTAGAATGAACTTTGGGATGTATCCTTGATGTATTTTGGTGGTTGACTGCAGAGGTTGAGGAGTAGGGCCTCTGGGCTTTGAGCCCCGCACGTTGTGCGCTCGGTGTGCATGTGGGCGGAGGACGTGCTATGGGAAGCAGACCAGCATGGAAACCTAGAGTTGGGCTTGTACCAGCATATATTGATTTGGTTTTAAACTTCGAGGTACATATTTGTAGTCTTAGTATTAACCCTGTCCTGAATCCTCATTCTCCCCTAAACCCAAACAATACACTTTACGAGAGAGTACCCATTCTTACAAGAGAATGCCCCTGCTCCGGCTGGATGTCGACTGTCTGGTGCTTAGCAGGGAATGGGTGAATGGATCCTTATAGTAGTCCCTATATAATTCCCAACAGTAGTCCCAATAACCCCCTACTAAGAACCTGACAGTCGAGGTAGACATCGCACTGAAAAGCGACGACCACAAGGCCTGGCTTTCATAGTATTCGAACAGGGCGTAGAGCCTTGGGTTTTGGGAGGTTTTGCTTCAATGGGGTTGTTAGGCTGCTTGAGGGTTTTGGGTTTAATAGAGCTTAGTAATAACAACAATAATAATAGGGTTTAGGGTTGAATAGTGTTTCATAATAATAACAAGAGGTTTTAGGGTTTAGGGTTGAAGTTCAGGCCTAGCGTTTGGGCTTTGACTGGGTTGTGAAGGCGGACCAGGGGAATGATCAAACTCATGCTGCCCACTTAAAGGTTCGGGGGACTTAATAAGTAGGTAATATGTAGACTTACTAAACCCTAAACCCCAAAACCCTAAGCCCCAAAACCCGAAACCCCAAAACCCTAAACCCTAACTGGGACCTTTTAAGTCTCCAAAATACCCCCAGCCTCCAGGTAGTCATGCCTTTGAAGGCTGTAATGCGCTGTAAAAAAGTCACATCGAGTCTTGTCTCTGAGGCTTTCCGCTGATGGAATTTAGGGTTTCGGGGTGCAGTTTTTAGGAAGCTGATCAATCGAACAAGGGCCATGTCCAGGAGCTTTTCTGAAGCTGGGGTTGTTCTCTAAATTAGGTCCGAATCCTTACATCCAAAGCTCTAATTCTATACCCTGTAGTGCCCTCGAATCCTACGACACCCTTTGATCCTGAACCCTAAACCCCTAAGCCGTAAATCCTCAACCCAGCATCAGACACTTTACATCGTAAAGCCGTCGAAGGTTTGGTCTCTGGCGCGGCGATTTCTGGGCATGTTCCGGGGTCTCCATTCCACGCCTTTGCGCGACCTCGTCCAGGGGGCCGATCGGTTGCAGATATACACAGGTTTAGGGTTTAGGGGTTTATGGTTTAGGGTTTCAGGGTTTAGGATTTAGGGTTTAGGGGTTTAGGGTTTAGGGTCATAATTCATAATTAAGTAGATTCTTCCCAGCTGCTTTGTGCCAAAGGTATATAACCCCGACAGTTCAAGTATTCCTTTTCATGGAACTTTGGGTCATTTATTGGACAGCAAAAGCCATGAATCAGGACCATTTGGACCCTTAGGCGACTGTGTTTTTACATGCAGTCCCCTTACTTCATCAGCTATGTATGTAGTGAGGATCCCATAGCTGACCCGGTCTTCAACGCTTCACAGTATAGGGTTTGGAGGTTTAGGGTTTAGGGGTCCCTATGTCCCTAATTACGGCCCCAATATAGGTTGAGAGTGTAGCAGCCAAGGTTTCAGGAAGGGTTTGGGGGTGGTGTAAGATTTTGAGCTGTCAGGATTGCCTTGGTTGTTTGTCAGGGTCCTCAGTATAGGGTTGGCGTAGAATGCTTCGAGAGTTGACGAGAGGGGGCAGTTTAGCAGGTAGACATCCATCAGGTTCCGGGGGTAGGGAGTCCCTGGAATAGGAATAGACCATACCCTAAGGGTCCATAGGGTTTAGGGTTTAGGGTCCATAGGGTTTAGGGTTTAGGGTCCATAGGGTTTAGGGTTTAGGGTCCATAGGGTTTAGGGTTTAGGGTCCATAGGGTTTAGGGTTCAGGCTTGAGATTCAAGTTTTGGGACTGAGGATGTGAGGCTTAGGGTTTAGGATTCCGGCGTTTGGGTTCAGGGTTCCGGGAATAGTTTCCCAAAGGTCCTAGGTATTTTCATGGGGGATACTTCCCCAAGTCATAATTGTAATTGGGGGATACTTCCCCAAATCATAATTCAAATTCCTATAGTATACAAACCCTACACTCTACTATATGGGTGCTTTGGACCCTTTGGGTTTAGGATCTGGAGAATTTCGCGCCTACACGGCTTTGAGCCGATGAAGCAGAAGGAGTTTCGAGGTGGGCCTAGAGCTTCCTGGGTTATTGGGTTAGGGTTTAGGGGTTAGGGGTTTAGGGTTTTAGGGTTTTAGGGTTTTAGGGTTTAGGGCAAAGTACATACAGTGCAAATGAGCAGGTGTGACCGCTGTAGGGTATTCGAAGCTGTGCAGAAAATAGCTTCCTTGAATCCTCGAGCACTGGAGCGTGTGCGCTAGACTCACACACCGTGCTATGCAAGGAATGTTGTGGTGCACGAGCCCTTGGGTAGCAGCCTTCTGTTGTGTTACATCTGTACTTGTAACCCAATGCTAACCGAAGTACCAAATAACTTAGAATTGGGTTTTCGCTACACTTCATATCGGCGAGCTTGGTCGGAGGTGTTGCGGATGCGTGGGATGAGAACCATGAGAACCAAGATGGCCTGACTGTGGGGCTCCAAGCAGCTTTAAGTAGGGTACACTTGAAGCCTTAGGGTAAGTATACCGGCCTTACTTGTTAATACGGTGGATGATATAAATCCTGCGTTACCTTAAGGACCCTAAACCATGGGAATTATGGTGTATATATATATATATATATATATATTTCCTTATTATGGGTAATGCAGGATCTATATCATCAACAGTAGGGTTTACAAGGGATGGTTAGTCTCGCAAGAGATAGTCCCACGGGGGGGGAGCCTCAAAGTTGTCGCAGTCAAGAAGTACCAGCCCCTAATATACGGTTGATGATATAAATCCTGCAGTACCCATAATTAAGGAATACGCCATTATTCCCATGGTTTAGGGTCCTGAAGGCAATGCAGGATTTATATCATAAACAGTATTTCTTCGTACCCTGGAACCTTCAGGCAAAGTTTTGGGGCTCGGGGGCTCCATCTCGAGATTCAGGCGGAGCTGCTTCGCGTCGTGAACATCCTGCTGAACAACTTTCAGGCCTCTGATTCTCAGCTTGGAGGGTCGGGGAACTTCGTAAGTAGTTATTTTAGAGACTTATAAGTATCGTAACCCCTATTTAGGGTCCCTATTAGGGTACTTATCAGTCTACTTACTACCTACTTACTAAGTCCCCCGACCCTCCAAGAGGGGATTCCGGGCCTGAAGTGCAATGACCCTAAAGTCCAGATGAGTAGTTGTCAAAATTAGGGCCCTTTCGGGGTACCTTAAATATTAGGTGCCGTATGATAAATGGGACCCAAAAGGGGACCACAATTTTGACAACCACCCAGATCTCAAGCTCTAACTGAAGACCGAAGCTCAACAACTGAAAGTCCGTTGCCCAGACCCTAAAGGAACCCTTTGAAATAGCTGCAGATCCCTTATAGACCCCTTTATAGGAAACCCTTAAAGGAAGCCTTTAAAAGGATCCCTTATGAAACCCTTATAAGGAACCCCTAAGGAAGCCTTTAAAAGGAGCCGGGTAGGGAGTAATTAGAAGCCGTGGCGAGGCAAGCAGGGAGCCGAAGAAGGCAACTACGATTTAGGGTTTAGGGGTTGGGGTTTAGGGGTTAGGGTTTAGGGGCTTAGGGTCTAGGGTTTAGGGTTTACTGTTTAGGGGTTACCCCCTAAACCCAGAGGCTCCAAAGCCCCTTAGTTAAGTAATATACTTTAAAGCAATATTAGGGCTCCTATTATAATTTGAGGTATATTCCTTAATTAGGGGGCCGGGGAGTTTCTGGGTAAACCCTGAGCTGTTCCTAGAGGCTCATACCCTACCCCTTTTTTCGGATACCTATAATTTTATGGTTAGGATCTGTTAGCTTAAAAAGTAGGCGCCCTAAAAAAGGGGTAGGGTATGAGCCTACAGGTAAGCCTTAAACTCTGAAGTTTGAGGTCAGGCGGGAGCCATGCCGTTCTTACATACTAGAAGCAGTCTATGCACGCGTAACAACATTCAAGATAAGCTAAAGCAGTTGCTGGTTTATGGACAGACGGGCGCGCTTCAGCCGCGAAGCATAGCAAACCCCGAATTCGTAAAAAAAAGCCTCAGGGAAGCGGGACCATAACAACTCCATGCGACTCTTCCCCGAAAATCAAGAAGCCCAGAGCCTTTTGCACACAGGTGCGCTCCCTCACGAACCTAAACCGGAAGCTCCACAACCCTCAAACCTAGGCCCGAGACCGAACCCTAGACCCAAGAGGTGTGCCCTAAACCCCAAACTCTAAGCCCTAAACCTCAGACCCTAAACCCGACACCCAAGAGGTGTGCTACATGCTTGCCAACATGAGCTACAAGTATTGGCCGGAGCAAGCCAAAGCCAATGCCTCGGTGGTCCTCGAGTTAAGGTCGACCCCCGTAAGGGTGCTTCTGTTGATGATATAAATCCTGCATTACCCATAATAAAGAATAGACCGTTATTCCCATAGTGTTTAGGGTCCTTAACTTAATGCAGGATTTATATCATCAACCGTTGCGTGTTCTAGAGTGGGGTTCCTTTGAAGGTTACTTTGGGATTGCATAATAGCCTCCCCTTGGGATGAAGGGCACGATGTGCAGGAAGGGGGTTCTACCTACACCTGAGGATGCGAGTTGAGCTTGTGCTCGGGAGAGCTGCCTCCGACTCGTCGCGGTTTCCCATCTCAAGTGCCATTCCCTCGACTTGTTGTTGTGTTCTCGTCAAAGCTGTTGATGTTAACTGAAAAACGATGGAACCTTGGGCAAAAACTCACATTGAACATGCACATTGCCACATGAAACGCCAATCGTTCATATTTGCTTGCTACCTCAGAAAAATCAAAATCAAAGTTAAAAAGACATAGCTTCAACAGCAACGCCCTACTAAGCTAGTTAAACCCAAAGTACTGAAGTCGACGTCCTACTATCCCCAGAGGGTCCAAGTACTCAACTAAGAGAGCCTTAGGTCCCCAAAACCATTCAGAGTATGGATTTTGGGATCTAAAACCCTACTATTTGGGTACTTGGACCCTCTGGGATCGTGAACCCTACATCCCAGCCCAAGTCATAAACTTTTTCGACCTCAAACATGAGGGCTTCGGGTTTTTCTTAGGGCCCAGCCAGGAGGGACTCTGGGAGCCAACAAGCCAAGCTTTTGCGGCCGAGGTCCTGCTTCGCTCCGGGATGATCCTCGGATGTCTTGGGGTTTACCTGTAGGCTCATACCCTACCCCTTTTTTAGGGCGCCTACTTTTTAAGATAACAGATCCTAACCATAAAATTAGGTATCCGAAAAAAGGGGTAGGGTATGAGCCTCTAGGTAGGGTTTAGGGAGTAGCCAAAGTATTTCAACAAACCCAAAAGTTTCAATACGGTTGATGGTATACATCCTGCATTACCTTAAGGACCCTAGACTATGGGAATTATGGTATATTCCTTATTGTGGGTCATGCAGGGTTTATATCATCAACAGTATTTCATGGATTAACTACGGACCAGGAGTAACCAAAGTAGCTTCAGCAACCTCTGAACTTCGTAGTAGTCGTATTACATCATATACTTGGCGTTCTTCTGGTTGGCTCTTTAGACTTTATAAGGAGGCGAAAAGTTTAACTTTTAGGAGGGGTTCAGAAGTCAGCCAAGTGTACGTACTGCAGTTTGTATTACAGTCGCATATGTTTACTTGTGGGGTCAGGGATCGACCTTTTTGGATAATCCTAAACCTTCAACCCCTAACCCTAAACCCTTAGCCGGGTTTAGGGTTTAGGCGTTTAGGGGTTTAGGGTTTAGGGCTCTACGCCAATAGAACCTCGCCCCGAAACCCTAAAGGCCTACACCCTGAAGCCCCTACAGACCCCAAAACCCTAATAAGTTATACGCGAGTATAGTTACCTTGGCTATAACCCTAGTTACTAAGTCCCATGACCCTTTAAGTACAGACCCGTAAACCCTAAACCCAAGCTAAGGCTCTTTTTGAACGACGTGGAGCAGCTGCGCCCCGACTGTGTCATGCGGCTTGGCGGGCACTCCTTGCGACAAACTTGTGGGATGTACCTGAACCCCCGACAGTACCTACCACGTAATCGATACTTTTCATGCTTTCCGTATTTCAGTCCTTAAGAATCCATGTCTTGGTGTAAAAGTAGGGTTTAATATTGAGGAGTGGGGGTTTGGGGCTGCCGATGCAGGGTTTGTAGCGGTGTTTAAAGTGTCTGGTTTGGGGATTTGGGGATGTCGGGCTTCTGTCCGGTCTGGCCGGTTTAGGGTTTAGAGTTGAGGGGTTTTTGCCCCGAGACCCGAAACCACGTTTCCATGCGAAGCTCCAGCCTTATGTGCAAGGTGTTGCCTTCGCATTGTCTCCTCCAGCTCGATCAAGCCAGACATCTGAGCTTTAACTGAACCTTGCGAACCCTGTTAAGCTCATACTGGCGCTCAACATACACATTGGATCCCAACATCAGCCTTTGGATGTTTTGGAGCGTAAATTCTGGAACATGCTCCAGCTACAGACCTACTTGGAGGGTCGAGGGACTTAGTAAGTAGGTAGTAAGTAGACTTCTAAGTACCCTAATAGGGACCTTAAATAGGGGTTACGATACTTATAAGTCTCTAAAATAACTATTTATTAAGTCCCCCGACACTCCAAGTACAGACTAGTTGACCTCACACCTGTAAGACAAACGGCCCTCCCTGATTGTAGAACAAAGACTCTCTTCTGTTAGGAAGGTGGGGTTGATAGGGGTTAGGGTGTAGGGGTTAGGGTTTGGGGGTTAGGGTTCAGGGTTTAGGGTTTTGAATTAGGATCTTGGTATACTGGGCCCTTGCAGAAAAGCTTGGGAAGTTAGAGAAAGCAGAGGTCTGCATTTCTGGGAGTCTACATGTTGCGTGATAGACCTCAGATTGGGTTCGAGGCAGCTGACAACAACAGAGCGCTGGTACCTCTTCTTCTTCCTGCCATATGGTCTGCAGCACGGCATTGCATTCAGATCAAACAATCCAGTAACCCTACACAAGCTTTGCGCGGCCCAGATGAACAACATTTTTAGATGAGGATGCCTGATTCTGTTCGCCTGGTTCTGTTCTGCACAACAGACTGTCGACTGTCGGAAGCCGTGTTCCCAACGACTCCCAAACTTACCATTGGTTAGTAGGGTATGGAGGAATGGGGTACAATGTAAACTACTATTACTACCATTCTCCCATTCCCTACTAACCAAAGGTACTGGGTACTGGGGCTCCTTTTTCAGCTTATTAGGTCCAATGACCATATATACATATATAGACATATATATATATATATATATACATACATACATATATAATATGAAAACACAATATATAATGTATAGTAGAAAATATACTATGTACATATATATATATATATATATGTATATATGTATATGTATATATATATATATATATGTATATGTGTATATATATATATATATAGATGTACCGATATATACATATATACATATATATATATATATATATATATATATAGTATGCAAGGCTTGTTGGGTTATTTTGAACCGCAGTCTCCAGGGCAGGGGCCGGGGGATCGCATTTCTCTGCTAGGCCGCCGGATGCAATGTTATAGACCGGCCCATGGCTGTTTTGGTGCAAATGTGGTGGGAAGGTAAGAACCTGGGGATTTCCAAAACTTAGGGGGTAGCTTATTTTGGGGTCCTTATCATAAGGGTCCTACCATTTAGGGTGCTACATGAGGGTCCCCTATTGTCGGAAACTCCCACCTCAGCCTGAATCCCAACAGGGACCTCAAGCATTGGTTGGAATGGGGTTTGGGTGTAAACTGCATGTCGGAGTCATGAAGGGGATATTGTCGTTCACTCAGCAGACCCCCATATCGACCCTAGAAACCCAAGGATCAGACTGAGTTTGGTGGGCTGTCTGTGCTTCTCCCAGCCGTGACCAGCGCTGCGCTGAATAGACTCAACCGAGCTTGAAGCCTCAAACTAAATCCAAACCCCTAAACAATCAAAAGCTTAAGCCCCTAACCCCCCCAAACCTTCAACCCCCAAACCTTGAGCCCCAAAATCCTTAACCCCCTAAACCTGAAACCCCTAAACCCCTAATTCAACCTTAAACACTAAGAAAAGACATGTGTAAGCATTCAAGACCTCGAGCCCAGGAACAAATCCGAAAACTCACGCACAGGGACCACGAGCCCATAAACCCTAAGCCGAAAACATCACCCTAGACTCTACCCAAAGAGCCCAAAGTACCTTCTATGGGTTCCCCTAAAGGTTCCTTCAAGGGTTTAGAGTTTAGGATCCTGTTACGGGTTTCTCAGTACCTATATAGTAGACTGTAGGGTTCCTATAATAGAACTTACTGTTATCACTTAGGGAAGTTTCCCCCCGTAAACAGTGCATAGGACCCTTTGGGCTCTTTGGGTCTATCAGGATCGACCCGAGACGTGTCTCCTGCTTCGAGCTTTGAGCGTGGATAGCTTCGTGAGACCACGTCAGCATGGCCGGAGATGCGCCCAGGTATGTGTGTGCCCTTTTCTTCGTGCTGTGCCACCAGAGGAGCCCCGAGATGTCTTGTGCATGTGGACGTTCATGGTCAAGTGTGTCATGGAGGGAATTAAGGAGTTTGGGGGTTCAAGAATTCGTAGCCTGACTGCCCTGGCCGTTGAGGGAATTAAAGGAGCTGGGGGTCATGAACTTGCGAAGTACCGTAACCTGACTGCTACGTTGTTGCACCCCCCCCCCTCATCCTGGACCCTCAGACTGCAATGCAGCGCAGAGCCTAGCCCTCGGTGAGACCTGAGCGCTTCACCTACCCTAAGGCTCCAAAGCAGTTGCTTTTTTGGGGTTCATATTTGGAATCCTATAAGGTAATCCCAAAAAGGAACTACCATGGAGCCTCTGGGTAAACCTCACCCTGAAGCGTGTCGCGGAGTGCAGGAAGCACAGGGCACGCCGGATGCGCATCACGTTAATGATCTCGGGCGCATTCCTGCTGTCACTTGGCTTTGGGCTTACCGAAGCTTTTCGGGTATCTGCATCTACGGTCGCAGTAGCAGGCCTTGAAGCACGAAAGACATGATATCCCGTCCTCTGAAATCTTTGCCTGTGCCAACTGGACAAGCCGTCCCAAGATGATCATGGACGCAGCTGTGTTCAATTTTACCGTCAACATCGTCTTATTCTTCTCCTTCGTCCTCATCATCATCAGCAGCAACATCATCATCCTCATCCTCATCTTCAGCATCATCCTTATCCTCATCCTCGTCATCGCCGTCGTCGTTCTCATGCCGGCTGCCATGACCATATTCCTCTTGTGGGCCATTGAACATAAGCCGGGTCATCACTAGCACCATCATCCTTATCGCCATCATCGTCATCAACGTCGTCGGCCTCAACATCATCATCTCCTCATCACCATCAGCAGCAGTACCAGTAGCATCAGCAGCGCGGCTATCATCAGCACCGACACCATGCTGGTATGATCGTCGGCGACATGACTTCCTTCGCCAGGGCCATCACCACATCATAATTTGTAGCATCACTGTCATCGTCTAACCGGTCTGCTGCGCTGCGGTCAGCTTAAATCCTAAACCAGCAAACAGGCTCTCAGGTTTCCACGTAGTCATGTGCGGGGTGCAGTAGCGGTCTTGTCATTCAGGAGGAAGGTGTTCCATAAATTCAGCAGTCAAGCAAGTAACCTCTACATGCTCCGGCATCATGTTCTGAAATGCTTTCGGAGTTCACATGACTCTGCAGCATTTTTAGTGCGAGTTATCTCTTGTAGCAGTTTTGGAGACAGTTTAGATCAGCGGCGCAGCAAGCAACTCTGCTTCGTGCATCCTTCCAGCTGGAGTTGTCAGGACATTCTTTACCACCCACTGCTGTAGAACATATCTCTGCCGTGATGATTTTCAGGGATCACTGCCTGGTAGCATAGAGAACGGCTGAGCACGCAGGAGAAGAAGGAGAGCACATTTCGAGTTTCGTTGTTGGCTTACCGGCGTGATTTGTGGATCGAGGTTTGCAGCCTTACTTTCATTCATACCTACCGTCTCCTTTGTAGTCCTCTTTTTTCTGGTTTAACCCATTTCATAAGTAGGACTCTATAAGGCAACCCCAAAAACGAACTACAATGGAAACTATAGGTACTCAGAGAGCCCAATACTGCTTAATTGAGGAATATTGCTTAAATCATAAATATGAAGCCCTATATAATTTAAGGCATACTTAAAGGATCATGGGACTTAGTAAGTAGGGTTACAATTAGGGTAACTCTACTTATAAGTACTTATAACTCAATTAAGGTACAATATAACCTTACTTACTAAGTCCCATGATCCTCCAAGTATTCCTTAATTAAGGGGTATTGGGCTCTCTGGGTGGGCTCCTTATTATAAGTATAATATAATCTACCCCCGAACCCTATTCTAACTGTTAAGGCCCCTATAGTATCTCTTCAGGTACCTGTCTCCGATCCACCTGCTGACTGCGTTCAAGGCACATCTCGCAAGCGTGGACACCACCTTGCAAATGGAACAGCCAAGCTTAACCCTGAGCGTGCAACAATTGTGGCCTAAACCTGCTAGAGAAGGAAAGTATATTTTGAAGCAGTACTGGCGAAATACTGCGGTAGCAGGCACCTCACTGAGCAAGGTATCCTCCATAACACAACTACATGGGAATGGTCAGATGCACGTACGTGCATGGATAAATACATATGTACATACATGTTTACTTGCCTGGGTCTATACATGCACATACAAACCCACATGCACACATCCATGCATGCATACACACACAGAAATACTACGCACATGCATACGCATGCACACACACACACACACATCCACGCAAGGATGCATGCTTGCTTACCTACCTGCCTGCCTGCATGCCACCTGCCTGCATATGTTTGCTCCTTGAACGAAGAAGTATATTCAATATACTTAAATTTATAATTATGTGCGCACGCATGCAAAGATATATGTGCACGACCTCTCTTTCTCTCAATGCGTCGATCCCACTCTTGCACAAGGTATGCGTTTCCCGTGAGGCGATTCCCGAACACTAATATACCTTGAAGTCCAACACATCAAACCCTGAAGCCTAGGCCTAAACACCACATCATCCATATGGAAGTTTCCGAAAATTACGGGTAACCTCACTTTGGGGCCCTTATAATAAGGTTTCTACTATGCAGGGTACTATATCAGGGTTCCCTATAAACGGGAACCCCATGCAAGAAAAATCAACAAGTAACCAAATCCTATACCCAAGGCGCCACACCAGCAAACTCAAGCCTTAAACCCTTAATTAACTACCCCGGCCGCAAACCCCGAACCCAACAACCCAAGCATCGAATCCCAAAAAACCGAAGCCTAGAAAACTTCCAACCCTAAGCGCTAAGACAACCTGAACTCGAAACATTAAAGCCCCGCAAAAACCGCAAACCCACAACCCCCCCAAACCCCAATCCCCATGTCCACAGCCCCCAACATACCTGAAAGGCCCCAAAACTTCTGAATCCCAAAATTAAAGACAAACACTCCCTGAACCCATAAAGCTTAAACCCCACACCCAACAACCCAGAACCTAAAACTTCAAACCCTACAAACCATCCAAAACCAAATGCTCAGCCCGGAGCCATCTTTAGAGCGATCCATATAGCAACTCTTCTTAGACGCTTCAATGCCCAACAAACCCTCCACAAACGAACACCCTAAGCCCTGCACCCTTTAACGCTCAGCCCCAAACCCCAAACCCAGAGTGCCCAATACCGCTTAGTTCAGGAATATGGCTTAAATCAAATGAAGCCCTATATAATTTAAGCCATCTTCCGCAATTAAGGGGGTATTGGACTCTCTTTTATAAACCCTCAACCATATAGATCCTTTAAAGGATCCCTTTAAAGGAGCCCTAGATATTCCTTAATTACGGGGTCTTCGGCTCTCTGGGAATCCAAATCCGTCGCAGGTCTTCGACTGTGTTCTCTCGGGAGACGGCTCATGGGTCTTGGACCTCGATCGTGCCGCCGCCCGGCTCATATCAATAGTAATAATAGCAATTATAGTTACAATATTTTTTATATTTATAATAGTAATAATGGCAATAGTTATATTATATATAACAGGACCCCGGCAAACCCAACGGGGAGTTCGACCTAGCGCAGATCTTCCAATCCGTCAACTTTGGAATTTACCTTAAATCGTAGTATCAGATCCGTAATATGATTCAGGATACATTCCTTTATTGATTGATGTTGAAAGATCTGGGTAGCGTAGCTTTTTGTTAGGCTTGGGTAGGGTTCTATCACTGGCTATAGCGGTTACTTGAAAGATGTTAAGGGTTTGAGGGTTGAGCGTTTAGAGTTTAGGGTACCAGCAATTAAAGGCTGCCATATTTGGGTGGTTGTCAAAATTAACCCTAAATAGTACGTGCCGTATTATAATAAGGACCCAAAAAGGGACCCAAACCATGACATGCACCCATTTAGGGGTGTAAGCGGGGTTACCATTAGGGTTTGAGGGCGCGGGTATACTACTAGTATCAGGGCGCCCGCAAGGACTTACAAGCCTTCGTATAACGGCAAAAAACAGGTCTACTCTAGAAGGGTTCGATGTGGGTTCTAGAAGAGGCTGTAAGCTTTTAGGGTTTAGGGCTTTAGGGTTTCTGTGGCGTTTTGTATCTAGTTTAGGGCATGTGGTTGGGGTCGAGGCTTTGTCGAAGGTTTAGGGTTCAGGATGTGGGTAGAAACTCCGGCATGTCTGCCCGCAGGGCCCGCACCCGTGTGTACACGTGTAATTTTCTCACTACATCGCAAGATGCAAGTTCCACCGGGGGGTAGTCTTCGGTACCTTTATAGTAGACAGTAGTTTCTTTAGTTAGTAGGAACTACCATTGTGTAAAGGACACCCTTACAGGAGCCCTTTAAGGAACCCCTTAACGGTGCCCTCAAAAAGAATCCTGAAAGGAACCCTCAAAGGAGCCCATGTAGGTACTTGGCACCCCTTGTGGACTGAAAGGTGGTGTGCTGGGAGGATCCGAATTGGTGGAGCATGTTCTTTGTGACTGTGGCCTGGCCAGGAGATAGCTTAAAGGATCATGGGGCTTAGTAACTAGGGTTATAATTAAGGTAACTATACTTATAATTACTTGTAACCCCAATTAAGGTACTTATAACCCTACTTACTAAGTCCCATGATCCTCTAAGAGGAGTTCAGGGTATGGTGAGTACAGGGCTTGGAGGTTTGGGATCGAGGGCTCAGGTTTAGGGTTTAGGGTTTAGAGTTTAGGGTGGTGCGTGGTCTGGGGGTTTCAGGGATTTGCAAGCAGACGTTGTATCTGTGGAAGAGATGTTTCGCGGCTCTGTGCTGCATGCATAGCAACGGCCTGCAGACCGTTAAGTGGAAAGGTGTCGATCAGGGTTTGAGGTTGGGGTCTCTACCTCTAGACCGGACAGCGGTAAGCAAGACTGTAAGCGCCCCAACCCCCATGGGCCCAAGAAGGCTTTCATAGGCTTTCTACGGGGTGTGTAGTTGTTCTCGCGGAATCGGTGCTTTAGGGTTTTCCTCAACTGCTGGGTTTAGGGTTTCTAGGTATATAGCGTTTAGAGTTTAGTGTTTATGTTTTGGGTTTTGGGTCGGATGTGTTTGCTTCCATTCCGTATGTTGAGCCTCAACCCTCCAAACAAAGCCCTCAACCCGTAAAAAAACCCTTTATGGAGTCCTCATGAAATACGAGTAGGACCCGTATGGAAGCCCTTGTGAAGCCCAAGGCTTCGGCAAATGGGAGTTTCCGAAAATTATGGGTACCTTATTTGGGGGTCCTTAGATTAAGGATCTTACTATTTAGGGTACTACATTAGGGTCCCCTATTTTCGGAGACTCCCAAATCCCCCACGATTATAGAACCCTTATCAATGCCTTCTGCACCACGACTAGAGCCAGTATGAAGCCTATAAGCCCTAAACTGTGACGGACTGGCTTTACGTGCAGCTTTAGTAGACATAACAGCAAAGTGAACAGAATGGAAAGAAGCCAAAACCTTAGAGTTTGGGTTTAGTAACATCCTAAACCCCAAAGCCCAAGCAATAGTACATCTCTATCTCGGAGGAGAGTGACATGAAACTCCAAACGCGATGAGCGTACATTAAAGCTGCTACACAACTCGAAACTGTAGACCTCGAGTCAGGCCGTGGACCTTTCCTTGCTGCTGATCCTGTTTCTTTTCCTTTGTTTGGCGGCCCCGCCCCCAGCATGGGCAGGAAGAACAGTTGCAGTGCCCTAGCATCAGGTTTGGATCATTTTACGGCGCCACAACCGTGCAGATGCAGTTCTCTGTATACACCGTACACTCGCGGACGGCTTTGGAACTCTACGAACATCGGAACGCAATGTAGTTTAAACAGTCCGGAAAGACCCCCCAAAAAACATTGACAACAGCAACATGATCGCTGTCACCTTCCCATCATCGTCTTCATCGTCGTCACAGCCGTCGTCATCGTCATCATCATCATCATAACATTCTTCATCATCCTCATCAAGACCATCCTCGCAATCATAACCCGCAGAGTCATGTTTATCTCCGTGCGGTGTCGCAGCCTCGGTTGTGTGTTCAAAGGTGTTCCACACCTACCGCTGGTATCGCACTGCTGAAGTTGGCGTGCCACCCAGCTGAGGGCACTGTGTGTGGGCGGGTTGTTCCAAATCGTCGTGGCTTCTGGGGTCCTCGTTGTATCAAAGAGCGGTACTAAGTAACATAATTCCTTTGGCCTTTGGGCCCAAATGTTCCCAAGTATATTTGCGGTGTAAAGCTCCGTGTAACAGGGGTCCAGATATTCAGGCTCCCTAGGTTTAGGGTTTAGGGTGTAAGGTTTATAGGGTTTAGGGCACTTGAACCCCATAGGCAGAAGCTGGTAGTAAGCTAGAAAAACTGCTGCAGAACAAAGTCTGGGTTTGTGGAATTGGGCCTGTGGTTCCGGAGCCTGAAGGGGGACAAGGGGCCCTGGTTCAGGCCTTGAAAAGTCTACACTTCCAAAACCTTTAAACAAGGAGTCCCTAAACTACAACCCCAAACCCTAAACCCTGTAAGCCCTAACCTCTAAACCTTAGGGGTTGGGTAATACTTATGGAGTCCAGGGTTTAAGCCCTAATCCTACAGCAGAGGGACACAAGCCCTGAAAATCCCTAAGCCTAAACCTTACATCCCACTGCACGGAATGCTAGGCTACGCCCTAAGTCCCTGTAGAACCCTTACAAAAGCCTTTACAAGCACCCTTACAACAACTCTCGTTAAAGAACCCTGCGTTGAGGTCCCCCAACCCCAAGCCCTAAACCCTACGAACCCTGAGCCCTCAAAGCCCTAAACCCTAAACCCTAAACCCTAAACCCTAAACCCAAACCTTGAATGCTGGGAGGTATGGAGCCCCCACGGGCTGTGTTCCTCACCTGGTGGTGGATTACCGGCTCACGCGGCGTTTCTCTGAAGCACCGTGCCACCGCAAAATTATGTACCAGGGTCGAAACAGCTTGTGATGTAGTTGTAGTACTACGCTGCTACTCCTCCGACAACAACTTCTACTGCTGCTAGTGGTTTACGCTCGGACCTCCATGTTGAATGTTGAGGGCTTTCTGGCTTGCTGGCTCGAGGGGTTGGAGTTTGAGGCAGGTTGAGGTGTCTTGTAGGGTTTCCGATCTAGAGCTAAAGGCGTCAGAAACTCGCAGGTGCTGCGATATGTGGACATAAAGTCCATCTGGACCTTGCCACAGACAGCCTCCAGGCTCGTGGCTTTGAGTGGAGGATCTTGGGTTCATGGTTTCGGCTTTCGGGTTAAAAGTTGCTGGGAGTTCCCAACCTCTCTGGCCCCTGTTGATGGAGGTCCGTCTCATGAGATGCAGTCATGTCGTTTGAGTGTGGGCTCAGTGCTTTTGGGGTTTGGGCTTTTTGGGGCTGAGGCCGTGCGTACTAGAAACGATTTCTATATCAGGTCGCACATATACAGCCTCAGCATGTTGGGAGTGAAATCGAACGGGGCACTTGCAGGGCACTAGGCAATCAGCAACAACAAGTGAGCCAAAAGTTGAATCCCCCGCCACCGAGACAGTGGCCAGAACATGCTCATGGAGCAGAATATTGCATAAGTAGATGGTCATCGCATTCCGTTGTTCGCAAAATATATGTACCGAACCTGTGCAGCAATAGCAGCAGTAATTGTTTCCCAGCTAGAGCAATGGCAACATGACACACCGCGGCCCCCACCACCACTGCCACCACCATAAGTGGTCACGACGACAAACCACGGCCACAAAGCACCACCACCACAGACACCAGGCCAGGCGAGTGAGGACGACCAGAAGACTAATTGTAAACTTCGAAAGAACATGCATAGACCGTATTTCGAGCTCTCACAGACCCCCGACAAAAAGCATCCGAACTCCATGAACCCTAGGCCTTTAAACTTTGATGGCCAGGCTTCCGAGATCAACTCTCTCTGTGCCCCTTGGACTGACGGGTTGCTATCATTTTAATATGGATTTAGGGGTTCGGGTATAGGGTCTAGGGTTTAGGGGTTTAGGGTTTAGGGTTACTACTGGACAGGTTGCAATATGGGTTGCATATATAGAAGCCCTGCTAAGGCCAACAGTATACACACTATGGGTACGTGCATCAGCTGGGTAAGTCCGTCGGCCCGTGCAACGAAGCCCCTACTTGGAGGGTCGGGGGACTCAGTAAGCAGGTTATAAGTGCCTTAAGAGGGACCCTAATTGGGGTTATGGTACTTATAAGTCTCTAAAATAACTACTTACTAAGTCCTCCGACCCTCCAAGTAGCCCAGGATGACTTGTTGGACCAGAACATCGGCGACCTTAAAAGTGGAATCCGGCGATTGTGGGATTACTTGCAGGCCGCTTGGACAGTGGATTAGGGACCCAAGAGGCACATAAGCATAAGCATTTTATAGGGATATCCCTACCTTATTGGGCTTCATTATAAGGGGGTTTATATGGGATATCCCTATCCTAATTTTTGCTTATGTGCTTTTTTCGGGTCTTAAATGGGATGGGCGGGGCGGAGCAAGCACGTAGGTGTAGGGTACGTGTTTGACCATCATGACATTGCGAACATCTGGCGCAGAAGGAATAACTGTTGGACACTGTTGAAATCGAGAAACATTGGACCAACTACAAACAAGCAGAGTTGCCAGTACTGGAGGTTCTGACACAGGTCTCTAAAGTCACACCGGTCTTGTTGCCAGGCCTCATGCTTTTCTTGCATACCAAGACGTAGCCATACTTCCCTTTGTTGTGACTCTTCTCCCAAACCCACTGAAACCCAACGCCTCAACCCTAGACATCACCATCGATCTGAAAGTCTGCTTTGGACAGGGCTTCCGCATCGAGCATGCTGACGACTTGCCTCCTGGTGCAAAGCTGGTCCAGACCATGTTTAAGTACTTAATTATCCCAAACCCTAAACCCCTAACCCTAAACCCTAAACCCCTTGGAGAAAGGGTGCACATCAACTTTAAAAAAAAAAACCCTCAATCCCAAACCCCTAAACCCTTAACCCCTAAACCCTTAACCCTTAAACCCTGAACTCCAAGCCCCAAAACACGCAAACGTGTCAGGATCCTGAGGATTCTACGAAGGATCCTCTGGGCTACGGAATTCCAGTATGCGTTCTTACAGTGGTTCTAGAAGCTTTTTTCAATGAAATTCGTAGGGGGGGTAGCATTTGAGTTTAGGGTGCCCTAACACTCCAAGTTCAAAGTTAGATATGATCTTAGACCTTGGATCTTAAAACTAGACGCTACTTGTAGACTCGGAGGCTCAGGGTTAACAGCGTCCTCACTCAAGGGACCAGTGTGAAGTAAGGTAAGAGCAAAGTCCTGAAAGTGGACAGCACCGAAGGGGTATACTACCCACAGAAGTGTGCCTACGCTGAAGCCGTCTTGAACTCGCATTGGGCCCCTCGCTCTCAAACAAAGGCACTCGGAGTCGAATGTACATGTTCACATACACCGGCTGAGGCTTGATATAGACCCGAAAACCTAACCCCCAAGAAAACCTTAAGGCCAAAAGCCTCAACCTCAAACTCCATTTCGTAGGCCGGACCTTCGTGCAGATGCAAAAGAGCCCTCAAAAAAATACTCCATTTCCTCCGAGGTCAGCTGAGGCCTCAAAAGACGAGCTGCGACCCGCACGGCCAACCAGTCCAAGGCCTTTTCCAAGGGCTTCTAAACCCGTTCTGCGGTTTAGGGTTTAGGGTTTCGTCGTTCTACTTCGAGGGCTTTAGGGTCCTTTAGGGTCCTACTTCTAAGCTTTACGGTTCTACTTCTAGGGTTTACGGTTCTACTTCTAGGGTTTAAGATTCTACTTGTCGGTTTTAGGGCTCTGCTTTGAGGATCTTTAAGGGTTACCTAGACCCTCCATCTATCCTCTATTAGACCCTAAAGGCCCCTTATTTGGGACCATACTTGAAGGATCATGGGACTTAGTAAGTAGGGTTATAAGTACCTTAATTGGGGTTATAAGGTATTATAAGTATAGTTACCTTGATTATAACCCTAGTTACTAAGTCCCATGACCCTTTAAGTAGACCCCTATTTGAGGGTACAAGGAGGGTCATGGTAGAGTTCTGCCTTTACAGGGAACTCCAGAAAGTTGGAATAGAGCCCCAGGACTTCAAGATGCAAACCCCATCCACTACATCCTAAAATGGGAGTTTTCAAAGATAGGGGGCCCCAATATAGTATCCTAAATAGCAGGATCCTTATTATAAGGACTCCAAAATCAGGTACCCTCAATTTCGGCAACTCCCAAATAGTAAACCCCAAACCCCAAACCCTATTTCCCGCTACATATCAATTCCCAAAATCCTTGGCGTTCTGCTGGTTGGCTCTTTAGACTTTAACTTTTTGGGGCTTCTATATGAATTATAACAAGGAGGCTAAAAGTGTTTAACTTTTAGGAGGGGTTCAGAAGTCAGCCAAGAATCGTAAGCCCGAATCACCGTCCACCAGAAAGGCCGTAGTTCTGAACTCGTGCCAGGTCTGGCCAGACGGGTCCCGAGGGCCATCACGAGGAGGAGTGAACAGAAATTGTAAACGGTTTGGGTTTAGGGTTTATAGTTTTTAGATTAAGAGCTTAAGGGCGCGGTTGAGGCACGCGTGAGTCAGTGAGGGGGGTGTTCTGTGAATTTGTGTTTCGCCTTGTTTGTTCAGTTGGATCCGAGCAGGGCCGGGAACTTTCCATGTAAGAGTTTCGGTTCTGGAGATTAGGGTGCAGGTCTTGGGGTTGTAAGTACTTTCATGGTTGCTATCCTATGGACTTGTATCTTATAGCCCTACCGGGTAACCTACTTGCTATGTCCCTTGATCCTCCAAGTGCTCTTGTACGTTTCTAATGCCGTGAAGGGACCCGACATTTGTTACAAACTCCAAGTCTGGCAAAATTTTAGCGACATCAGCCGACCTCACCAGACAATTGCGAGGTAGGCGCCCCGAAATAAGGATCGAGCTCAGGACCAGCAGCCTTAAATCCCCGGCCCTGGCAGGAACCCCAAAGACAAGAGAATGCCCCTCTCCATGAACCACTGACTCCTGAGCCTTGTGCCGGTGCTACGCCGTGAAGCCTTCGTTTGAGGGGAAGCGCCAAGCACCTTGCTCTTCGGTTTGGCCTTCGGAGTTTGCCGGGGGGAGGATGCAGAGACAGTGTCTGCACTTATCTTGCAATGTGTACCGTAAGTATCCGAAGCAGTCGTTCCCTCGATGGGTCAGTCAACACCGCGCTGCAGCAGCGAAACTACTTGAAGTATCCCCAAAAGACCGAACTGGTATACTATAGGAGCCTAGAGAATTCCCGATGCTATTTGGGGACTCCTGTTTATGCTAAAGTAGTAGCATGATCTCCCCGAAAAGCCTGTTCTACTCATTAAGGCCCCGAAATGCGCTGGCATTCCTCTGGGGACAGCGTGTAGAGTCGTCTACTCCACGGACCTTCAAGGGAGAACAAACAGGAGCAATCCTACACCCTGAGCCCCAAAACCCCACCAAATGCCCTGAACTCTACAGTAAACCAGGACCCCCCCAAGTACCCTTTAAAGGGCTCTAATATTGCTTATTAAGAGGTAATTGGGTGCTATAGTAAAGGGCTAAAATACGGTTTCAACCTGGGGAGCCCAACCCAGACCCAAATCTGAGTCCCTGAAGCCTAACCCCAAGGGTCCAAGTACCTGATAATCATATACTCTCCGAAATACAAACCTACATCACGACTATCCTGAAACCGAGTCCCTTATTAGTGGATCCTTGGGACCCCTACAGGCTTAGGGGTACTCAGAAATAATTTTAATTTTTTGGTTATTATATTCCCTAAGAAACAGCTAAAATTACAATTTTTGCTAGGGTTCTAACTTCAGTCTAGTAGGGTAAAAGAGCAGTTACCTCGGAGATCAGGAGCCCAGTCGCTTCAGTTGGAGCTGTTGTGGCACTCTCAGCCCGCTACGAGCCTTGCGTGTTAAGACCCCTAGTATTGTTCATTAGCTGCACCCGACATGATCTAATCTTCTCTGCGTGCTGCAGCCACAGAGCTGAGGTTGTCGCGATCAGACTTTTAACTTAACAGATATAAGAGATGTGTCCTGTCTCATGCTCCAGCAGACTGAGAAGTAGGCCACACGAAGATCCCAGCTAGAACGCATGCTTTCATGCCAAGGCACCTTCCGGTACCTGGTAGAGAGCTTGGCAGTGTAGTGTTTTCACAGGCCAAGTCCTGCTCACCAATAAGTCACAGCATAACAGGGTCATGTAATGTCTCGTAATTGGAGTCCAGTGCACTTAATGTGATGTGGGGCTCTGTTCATCAACAGAAGTAGATTTATAAACAAGCAGTGTCCATGTTTTCCACTCCTGGGGTGTCTACCAACCGGCAGCACAATATAACATCCAATCGCCGGTTCCACTTGCAATCGTCGCTTCCACTTGCAACAGCTTCCATATTCTGAGACTAACCTCAACTCGCTGCAGTCTTCAGCGTCCCTATCTACGACATCTTCAAAGCCCACTGCAACACCCACGCCGACGCAGAACACCCCTTTCCGCAAAGGGTAATATGTATCACCACCGAATCCTCTTATAGTCACTCTATAGTGTGCGATTCCCCGAACCCGAATCTAATTATTAAGGTGCCTACATATTAATATATTATGTCACCTACACCCGAAGAAGCAGAGTTTTGAGACCTCTGAGGTGGCCGACGTGTGGTTATTCATAAAGAGCAGAAGCTGAAAGCCAGAAGTGACCTGCGCAAGGCGTGCCGGGCACTTCGGAAGTCTGTGGTTGTGTAAGGCTGTCATAGGGCTTTAGGTGTTTATGGTTGTGTTGTGCAGGTACTGAATGTATACAAGATTATGTATTTGCAACTATTTGCACACATGCTTGCGTTTATAGTTTGTATTAATATTTAATATATATATATATATATATGTATATATATATATATAAGTGTGTGTGTATATCAGGATTTAGCAGTTTCGGTAGCTTTCCAGCTTGTCGAAGCCATGGATGCGACGATGATATATCGTAGGCTACTAGGATAGTGCACAGTTCTCACTGCCCCTTGCTTTGGTTAATGTTCTGAACGCTTATCTTGGCAAGTCGCTCTTATCTTTCGATCCCCCCGTCGCTTTGCCAACCTGGATTGAGGGTTGTGTTGGAGGGGGGAGGACACAGGGTCGAGTGCTTTGGCTCTTGGGTATGGGCTTGCAATATGGAATTTAGGAAGGATGGCCCCTGTTTCATCAGAAACTCCCTGGTCGGATTTCGAATGATGCAGCTATTTTTTTATGTGTTTTTCATGTTACAACATTTCGGTGTGTCATGCTGTGTCTACGTACAAGTCAGGTATATGACTCTGGACCCTGAACCCCAAACGTTCTGTTTGAAGCCCCATACATGAATCTCGCAGAGACCAAACCCAGAGGGTGCATATATACTGCCATATGATTCGGTCCCAAAAGACCATCCTCATCATGGATTTGGGGGGACCTAATTCCATAATCGAGTGTATATGGACCCTCCTGAATTTGAAACCTACTTTTCTAGAGCTCCCGATTGTGATTTCTGCGGACGAAGCTCGCCTAGACCCTTACCCCACACCCTAGACCCCCGAATCCCAGACCTTAAAACCCCAACTCCCAAACCCTAAACCCTCAACCCTAAACCCCTAAACCCTAACCCCCAAACCCTAAGCTAATACGTCCGAAGTCACCACCAGCCACGGAAGAGCTCAAGCGCACCACTCTGCCGGAGTGGCCATGCCGCGGCGTGTGCGCGAGGCTCCCAAGCCGCAGGACACGGTCTGGGGGGGATTCTACCTGCGGTTTAGGGTTTTAGGGTTAGGGTTTAGGGTTAGGGTTTAGGGTTTAGGGTTAGGGTTTAGGGTTCAGGGCTTAGGGTTAGGGTTTAGGGTTTAGGGTTTAGGGTTTAGGGTTTAGGGTTAGGGTTTAGGGTTTAGGGTTTAGAGTTTAGGGGTTTCGGGTTTAGGGTTTAGGGGCTTCGGGTCTACCTTCAGTCTCCGTTGCAGTTCCTGTGTTTACCCTAAGGCTCCAAAGTAGTTCCTTTTTGGGGCTCATACTTAGAATCCTATAAGGTAATCCCAAAAAGGAACTACTATGGAGCCTCTGGGTAGTTTAACCAATTTTATAAGTAGGATTCCATAAGATAACCACGAAAAGGAACTACAATGGAGAGCACACGTAAACCCTCTAAGGGTCCCTGTACCCATAAAGTCCCGCAAGGGTTGCTCTAAAAAGTTCCTTGAAATTAAGAGCTCTGTAAGGGTTCGGGGTATTTGGGGTATGAGGCTCCATGTTCCCATATAGCCTAGACTTAGGCCTTACAGTGGTGTCCCTAGAAGAGGTTATTAGGGGCAAACGTACAAGTTACATGCACACGTGTTAGAAGCTGCCCCCACCCTGTAATAGTGACTATAAGGATTATAGTAGGGCCCTATTATATTCCTATTATACCACTATTACAGGGGTGGCGGCCCCTTCTAAGATACGTGGATATTTAGGGACCTATAGAGTATCCTAAACACAAAACCCCAGCGAAGCCTTGAACCCAAGACCCTACTTGGAGGATCATGGGACTTGGTAAGTAAGGTTCCTAAAAGGGATCTGATTATAGGGTTCCTTAAAGGGATCTATAGGGTTTACAGAGTTTAGGGTCTACTTAGAGGATCATGGGACTTAGTAAGTAGGATTATAAGTACCTTAATTGGGGTTATAAGTACGTAGTTGTAAGAATAGTAACCATAATCATAACCCTAGTTACTAAGTCCCATGACCCTTTGAGTAAGCCCTGTACCGGAACCCCTGACTCCTCAACAAAGGGGGTTGTAGAGCGCTTTCGTAGATTTCTGTAGTGTCCTCGGTAGTTTTGGGGATATTTTGGTCGTCACCAGCCTTTGACGATGGAGGGTTTCGGTTATGGGCTTAGGGTGTAAAGTTTATCACCGTCTTGCAAGTACCTTGTAAGGGGATTTCATAGTCCTTTTCATGTGATAGTTAGAGCCACAGTAATGGGTGGTTGGGAAGGTTTGGGTATAGTTTAGGGTTCAGGGTGCCTCCATTTTGGTGTTGGCCTTCATGCCTACATCCAGACGACCCAAACCTCCAACCTCAAAGCTCGAAACCATCATACTTGCCAACTCTAAAACCGAATCCCGGCCTTAGACCTTGCCGAACCTGTGCAGCTACTCTTACGATAGCCACTGTAGCACACCTAAGAGAAGCCTACTGTAGGGGCCTAAATAAATACCAGTACTATTTTGGGGTTCCTTCTTATAGGTGTTCTTTGATGAGGCCCAAAACCTTTTAGGCCCCTTTATAAAAAGCCCTACTCTTACCCTCCAAACCTTGAGGAGAAGAAGCTGCACCCCAAGACCTATGCGAAGCTGAAGGCAGGTGCTTCGACGAACCTCAATCCTTCTTCCTTGAAACCTACTTAAAGGTTCATGGGACTTAGCAACTGGGGTTATAAAGAAGGTAACTATACGTGTACATAATTTCATAGAACCCCAAGTAGGTACTTATCCCTGCTTGTACTAAATCCCATGAACCTTCAGGTACCCTAAACCCTAAGCCCTTATAGTACCCGTATAGATCCCTTAAAGGGGCCCTTAACCCCTTACTTACTTACCAAGCCCCCCGGTATTTACTAAGTACCATGCACCTCCAAGTAGAACCGGTAGAGGCCAAGGCCCAAAAACTCCACACCCGAAGTCTGGCTGCCCCAAGCCCCGAAAATGCGATTCTGAATCTTACACCCTAGGTTCCAATATCCCTATAGTAAGGAATATACGTTAAATCATGTTATCCTACCATAGTTTATAAGGTATATTCCTTGATAAAGGGATTTTGGAGTCTCTGGGTGCGCCCTAGACATGCATGGGCTTGGGTGTAGGGCCTAGGGTGGTTGGTTCGGTTCCCCTGGAGCCCTGGCTTTAAACCCTACACACCCTAAACCCTTTGACCCTTACCCCTACAGTAATACATGTTTAGTCCTCAGGTTTAAAGGTCAGCCGTCGGGCATGTAAAGGTTCTCAGAGGTGATCCTGAAGGCGCAGTTTCTGACCCTTGGCGTCCCAACGACTGGAAGCCGATACATCGTAACTCCCGGAAATGCTGCACCCGTCGCTTGACAACCTCAACCCCATGACTCCATGACCGCGGAGCTCTCGACCCCTCAGCCCAAATGGGTGAATCAGGGTAATTAGGGCTCATAACTCCTCATACCGCCTTGAATTGAAAACACCACCCTAAAATCCCTAAACCCCTAAACCCCTCAAGGCCCTAAACCCAAAACCCCTAAACCCTAAAACCAGTAAACCCCACAACCCTAAAACCCTAAACCCCTAACCCCTAAACCCTGTCGCCTGAACCTCGGGACACAAATCCCAAATCCCCAAACCCCTCTTGGCTAAACCGGTCCTCTGCTGCACTTAAAGGGTCATGGGGCTTAGTAACTATAGGGTTAAAACATAGGGTAACCTTGTAATTATAATTAGTTATAACCCCGACTAGAGCACTTATAGCCCTACTTACTAAGTCCCATGATCCTCCAAGTAGACCCTAAACCCTAAAGCCTTATAGTACCCCTAGTAGATCCCTTAAAGGGACCCTTAACCCCCTACTAAGTCCCATGATCCTCCAAGTACAGCTGGGAGCAACCGAAGACCCTAGAGCCGCCGCAGAAAACCCCAAAGAAGACCACCTGGGGGGGGGATGGCCTCTGGGGTTTAGGGTTTAGGGTCTAGGGTTTAGGGTTTTTAGGCACCTGGGGCCTTTAGGGGAGGCTTTGGGGATGGGCTCCAGGGCTACAGATAGATAGGCAAATATGCAGATAGATAAAGTTAGATAGATTGGTAGATAGGTATATAGATAGGTAAATAGATAGGAACGTAGATAGCTAGATACACAGACACATCATGCGCTTGTGTCAACGCTTTGGGGGTCCACTGAGTCGATTATGACGCCGTCCGGGCACATACTTGGAGGGTCATGGGACTTAGCAAGTAGGTGGTGAAGGGTCCATTTAAGGGATCTATAGGGGTGCTATAGGGGTTTAGGGTTTAGGGCCTACTTGGAGGGTCATGGGAGTTAGTAAGTAGGGGGTTAAGGGTCCCTTCAAGGGATCTATATAGGGGTGCTATAGGGGTGCTATAGGGGTGCTAGGGTTTAGGGCCTACTTGGAGGGTCATGGGACTTAGTAAGTATTTATCTTTAGAGACTTTATTTATAAGTACCATAACCCCAATCAGGGGCCCTTTTAAGGCACTTGCAAGTCCACTTATCACCTACTTACTAAGTCCCCCGACCCTGCAAGTATTATGGGCAGGCCTCTAAATTAGAGTCACTTCTTACGTCCCCAAAATAGTATGGCACCCTTATAGAAAGGACCCTATAAGGGAGCCTAACTAATAAGAGAACTGGTTGTATACATAGGTACGTAGGTATCGTAGGTAGAATGACAGGAAGAAAGGTAGATAGATCGACCGGTAGATAGCGAGCGAGTCCCAAACTCCAAAATCCTTTGACCCAGGTTTTGGGGCTTTACAGTTACCTAATAGGGGCCCTACTAAAGTTGCAACATCTCAGAATCTCCTACTTGGGGTTCTATGTAATTATATGTACAAGTATAGGTTTACAACCCTAGTTGCTAAGTCCCATGAACCTTTAAGTAGGTTTCAGAGAAGAGAAGTATGTTTTGGTAGCTAAAGGAAGGCTCTGGCATTTTTCTCCAGGAT